AGGATGCAGATGCCTCCAATTCAAGTTTGTCCAATCTTCTTCTGTGAAAACTTTTTTAGGATCACCATGGCCTTCTAAAATGCAAGTTCTCATTAGCACAAGTGGTTGGCAGCAGAATTTTATCGTTCAGTTCACTAAATGACATAGCAACTGCCACTTCGTACATACTGACGCAAATGAAAATTTGACTTAACATTAATGGCGCCACATGAACTGGTCAGCACAACCTTCCGGACGCACTGCCTTCGTGCAGCTCCACGAAGCACATTCATCGTTCCCGTCACAGCTGTATCGACCATCGCCTCATCCGGCAATACCGTACACGGACTTGCTACGTGTAGTACGTATGTGCAGTTTTCTGCTGCTCTGAAATTTGCTGTACAGTGAAATGGTTGTCAAGATACTGTAACCAAACAGAACTCAGAATGCGAGGACAATCTAGGAGAGGATGATGACTGAAATGACGGTTTCTCTGATAAGAAAACACTTCCCCTCCTTACTCCTGTTCTACTTCTAAGCAATCTGACGAATAAGTTATATTATCCAACTCAGAATTATTGTAGTTTGATAGCATTTACCAACTGGTGAAACCTGGTACACTGTTAGCAAGAGCATGGTACACCACACAGACACACGGTTAGACAAGAGGAAGCATTTTAACAAACGTGTTTTTAAGGAATGTGAAGCATTTTGAAGAATGTGGGCAACGAGGATTTCCTCGGTATTTGCTCTAATGAGCGAATGAACCGTTGAAGGATATTTGTTGTCCCACTTGCAGAGTCGAATCCTCCAAAACAGCACTACTTCACGCTACGCCACACCCGCTGGCTTTTGAAGAGTACTTGCATATAATTTCAAAATATATTACACAAACAATTAACAATTACAATTCGCATATTTCATAATTAACATTTCGAAAACGTATTTTTCATGACAGATGTAAAATTCAGAAAAACAGAAGTAAAAGCATATGAACGATCCTCAAAAAAAACAGGGTTTTAAGGAAAAAATTGAAGTAGCTGAATTTTTATCGACTTTAATCAGGCGAAGCAAAGGTAAAACAAAATGCAGTTTTGAAACGATGCTAATGGCAATTCAACTACGCAGATCTTCGTTTGACTGGAAGATCATCCTTGCCACTCCCCATATCAATTAGCTTAGAATCGTACTCATCATCTCATTATGCGTTTTTGCATATATGCAAATGCGGAAACGAATATTGCGACTACCCCGGTGTGTGTGTATGTGTGTGTGCGTCTGTCCAGATATACTCGACACCCAAGCAAGCGCCGGCGCCAAAATTTTGCCGGTGGGTTCCCCAGCCAAGCGTCACCCCAAGACCGCGGTACCAACCTTCATGCAAGTCTTCGCCCCGCGTATGAGAGGGCAAAAGTTTTGGCGGAAAAACCGCTAACTCAGCAACCAGGAAAGCTAGAAAGCTGAAATTTTGAGATTTTATTCCTTGTCCATATGGAATCAGAGATTTAAAAATCAGCCCCCAAGCATGCGTGGTACCCGTGCATGGACCCGTGAGGGTTCCTGGCGCGAAAATCGCTAAATCGGGAGCCAGGAAAGCTGGGAGGCTGAAATTTTCAGGGAATGTTCCTAGCTCACGTACAATAATAATTCATCAGACTCAGTCTTCAGGCGTTCGCGGTTCTCTCGTGCGGCCCCGTAAAATTTTTGGGCGGAAAAGTGGCTAACTCAGGAGCCAGGAAAGCTTGGAGGCTGAAAATTTCAGGAAATGTTCCCAGTAAAATTTAAAAATACCAAATGCAGCTCTCTGATGCATGTGGTTCTCATGTTCGAACCCGTGAAATTTTTTGGCAGGAAAATTACTAATTCTAGAACGGGGGAAGCCGGAAATCTGAATTTTAGCGGAATATTCCCTGTCCAAGCACCGCGTAGACAATTAACTTCTCGAAATTCGAGGACCAGTATTTCGCAAACCCTAACTACCAGATTTTCGAGCGATCTCACTACAGCATGAAATACTGCAAAAACGCATGACCGCACGGGCCCGCCCGGTGCGCGTCGCCAGTGATTTCTTCTTTTGCTTATAATCGTACAGATGCTTTTGGCATAGTGATCAATTTTTTAAAATACATATCAGTTCATGCACACAGGTGAGGTGCTTGTTCTATAATCTGTGTATGTTCATCTGATCTGTATATTGATTTGTCAACATATCGTTCTTCATACTAGATGTTTGTTTTACTACTTATTTTCTTTGAAGAAAGCGAAAGAGAAAACTCACTCTTCCCAGAGATCCACTCCGTCTTCAAGAGATGCACGAAAAAGCTCCAGTCGATCGGTGTTTTCCAGCTGCCGCAATGGGTCGATCTTATCAGATCGTATCAAATCCCGTACCGTTCCTCGCACCTTGTAACCCTGCCGCAGCAGTTGCTGGACACAATGAATTGCAAGGTAACCGGCTGCACCGGTCACCAGCACGCCTGAATTATAAAAGATGCATGGACAGCAGTGACTAATCAATATTTTATCACTTTTTATGAAAACATTTTGGAAAAAGTCAGTGAAGCTTAATTGCATCCTAATGGTTCATACATTCGAAATATTAACACCTGTACCAAATAATTAAGTTACATTACTTGCTCACGCGCAAAATGTAGTGTTTCTTGGATTGATTGTTAAAGGTCCGGTTCCACTGGTGAGCCAACTAGGTCCTGTACGATTTGTTTACTCGTTCCGATGGTAAACTGGCATTGGCACAAACCCACTAGTCAAAACTGCCATCAGCTTGCTTCCACTGAAAGCCTTTGCAAGAAGGAATTATTGGCAACTCTGCCAGCGCACTCAAGCTACTTCTGAATGTCTTCGCTACTCGCAAAAAGTGAATATTAAGCGAGTGTGAACATTTGACTTTAAATTATTCCAAAACTTACGACAGTCCTTGTTTTCGGCTGTTTGATCAACAGAATTTACGTCAGCAGCACTCATGTAAACTGTAATAACTTTTATGGTGATGCAAACACGGTAAAGAAATATGAGAACTTAACGCGGTGCCATTTACTCACAGTAATATGTGACAAAGACTTTTAAATCGATTCTGTACTCAGCGCAGTTTCAGGGTAAGCCCTACATTATTATTATTGTTTGAATGATAAACTGGGAATTTTTCGGTGCTGTACGCATCCTTTCATAAGCCAATATCCCAGTATGAATGCCTTCAGTGCAGCAGACTCGCTAACAATAAACTGCTTTAAATTGTTTTTGGGCACATTGCGTTACAACAGCGATACAAAAGACAATATCTCGAAAGTCGCTCTGTCTGCGGTATGTGTGCTCCGATTTTTGTCTGAGAGTTTTCAATTAAACAACCAGGAAAATTAGGAAGCTGAAATTTTTCAGGTTGTTTAATTGAAAACTCACACAGACATAGGCCTCAGGTACTTACACATGAAACTTTTATCGAAGTCTTTTTGGCTTAAGAACCAGTGCAATATTTGCACTTACCAAACTCTAAAGCAATGAGCATTCTTAGCAGCACGCGTCCGCTAGCAGAACTGCAAAACGAATGATCGCACTAGCTACCTTCGTGAGCGTCGCTATTTATTTTTATGCGTTTTGTGCTGTGCGACAGCTGCACAAAACGCATATTTTGAAGGGGTTGTCTGTGTGTATTTTCAATGTATGTGTGGGTGTGTGTGCCCGATAAATCTTATCCGCAACCTTCAACTCGGAAACCACAAAAGCTAGGAGGCTGAAAATTTAAGGAAATGTTCCTTGCCAAAGTCCGATTCAGAAAATTTAAATTCAACCTGCCATACTCGCGAACACTTACGGCCCGCAAAAGTTTTGGCGGAGAAAATTATTATCTCGAGAGCCACAGGAACTAGGAAGCTGAAATTTTATGGGTACGTCCTCTGCCCAAGCGTAACCAGAAAATTTAAATTCAGCCTACTCGTATCCGCGGGTAACACGCACGGCTCTGCAAAATTTTTAGCGGGGAAAATCGCTATATCGGGAACCGCGGAAACAAGAAAGCTGAAATTTTAGCGTAGCGTTCCTTGCCCACTTGCAACTCCGCCAATTCTTAGCGTCCCCATGAAAGCTCTCATTTTCTCGAGAACCAGAAGAGCTAGGAGGCCGAGGATTTAAGGAAGATGTCCCTACCTAAGCAGGGGCTTCGCAAACTCAAATTCACCATCTAAGTATGCGGAGGTCTCATGTATGACCATGTGGAAGTTTTGTTCAAATACCACTCGAAAGCCAGAAAATTAGGATGTTGAAATTATGGGAGGATA